TCATGGCATCAGCAACATGATTACAACAATTACAGGGCTAGAAGTAAATCATCACCGTAGCTAACACATCATTAACAATACGCTCTGTCATATTATGGGCAAAGAGAGTGCACTGTTTTTTTTTTTTCGTTCAGATGAAGACGCCTTTAAGCTAAATTGCGTAGCAATTAGTCAGTCGCTCAAGTTTCGTTCAATTATAAATCTGTAATGTTGAACAATCACTTTTTGCTGCTACCATTGAGTTTTTATTCTTTTTCCCAGAATCTATCTGTCAATCTCGCCATTTTATATAGTTAGTTCACAAAAATGCGAATAGAAAAAGGCCAATAGCAGTAGCGTAGAGTAGGGATTGCGTAAACAAGTAAACACAATTACGAAAAACTGCAAAGTAAAAGAAAAGAAAAAGGATACATATATATATATATATATATGTCTATAACTTTCTGACGAAATCGATCGAACGCGACTACTGCTTGAAACAAAAATTGATTGAATGAATCGTGTTCGTATCCATCCACTATTTCAAAACTTCGTTGTTACTTTTGAACATGTCAGTAGGCAAATAGGGTTTTTGTGTTGTTGTATATATAGAAATTTTGACGGGCTTTTATCGACATCGAATGCTTTAGGCCGCGCAAGCCATTACCAAAAGTGCATTGAAATGTTTGCTCTCTTTAGAAACGCAAATAGCATGCAGACGTAAGGATTGATGGACATACTTAACACGATTTCGAGTGTCATGGGGACAAAGGGTACATTGCGGTATAACTATGATTTGTATTACAAGACAAGAATAATATTATTATATATATATTTCAAACGGAGAGCAATGTGTGCCAAGCAAGAAATGATAAGAAGTAAGAAAGTTATATTCGGTCGTGACCGAATTTTTTATACCCATCACCCGTTATCCTGAAAAAGACAAAAAGTGCAACGGAACGAAATTTTCATGCTCCAAAATACGAGTGCGCGCGGTTGATTTTTTTTAATCAAAATAACAATTTTTGTCGTATAGGCGCGTAGGTGTTACAGCCGTGACCTTGGAAGAGTTTAAGTCACTTCCAAGTTCTTTGTAGGCGGTATTCTTTTTTTTTTGTGGACAAGATAATGTTTATCACAGATATTACACAGTTACGCAGACAGGCGGGTGGACAGGCGAACAGACGGTGTTTAGATACATTTCAAATTGAAAGCTGGCTAAGGATTTATATATCCTATGGAGATTTTGAAGCTTATATCTGCACCTTATAAAAGTATTGAAAAAATATTACATTTTGATACACTATAATATTGGCTAGACGGCGTCAATTTTTTCCATTTTTGTGCAAGTCCTAGAGCCTCGCCCGTAGAACATGCGTTCAAATTTTTGTACATTTATCTAGCTTCAGTTTATGAGTAATAAGCAAAAAAACAATTTTTTGCTCCTTTGGAAGAGGTGTTCTCAGTTTGCGTGGGCGTGTCCTTCGACAGGTTTGGCCCATTTTCAATGCCAACGAACTTCCAATGTTTCTGCCAGGTTTGAAGTCGATGGCTTCATTTTCGTGGCTACAGGAATGTTCACAACAAACATTACGCGGACGGACAGACGGACATACTGAAATTGATTTAGAATTTGATGCTGATCAAGAATATATATACTGTACGGAGTCTCTAATACTTCTTTCAGGGCGTTGCAAACGTTTTGACAAAGTCAACATATCTCTCATTGTTCGGTATTGGGTATAAAAAAGATATACGAGATTATGCCTTATCTTCTCTTTTTGTTTATAGAGCTACGACATCGGTTTCTTTAATCAGAAGAATCGACAGGTGTAGATCTAAATGTCGCAAACGTCGGTGAAAGAATTGTTTAAATTTTTCTCTTGTTCTTATTCGCTTTGATGCTCTAATAATTTTTTTTTTTTTTTATATATAAAAAAATGTTCATATTTAATGTTTATTGGTTTTGTTGTTGTGTACTTTTAACCAGTTTTATAAATGAAAAAAAAAAATAAATAAATAAATAAAAAAAAAATGGTTTAAACACCTGCTTACGATTAAACAAGAGTTAGTTGGCAATAACGAGAAGAGAGTGAAAATTCTACACAACAACCTCTTTTCATATTACACTTGACTGCATACACTAAACAGCGCAATATTTGACGTCCATATTAATCATCATTCATTAGTCTTTTCCCCGTAAGCATTGTGCACTTGCGCGCGAAACTCCGCAATACTTGAAGTACCGAAGGAGTGCTAATTTTATTTAAATTAATCCTAAAAGTTTCGTTTTCGATTGCTTTTATAAATAAATGATGAATATTGTAATGCATTGCCCGTTGGAGTTGCATGTATGTTTTGTAGCCATCAACCTTAAAGTTTGCTGATTGATTAGTAATCACTTGGAAGAAGTCTGCTCTTTAGTAATATATAATCCAATGCAAATCCAATGTATGAAAAGTGGTTTGCAATTCTTACACTACTTGCTTTTTTAAAAATATCTTCGCTGAACACTCCTTACCACTTCCCCTCCCTTTTCCCGTAAGACAAAATGCCAACAAACCGTACTATCATTATTATGGCGGAGTCTGATAGCATTTGTGGATCAGAAAGCTCAGTTACTTATAATAATTTTTTCTAGTATACTTCAACTGTTTCACGTAGCCTTGCCCTCGGTTAGTAAACTGTTTTATATTTCCTCCCACTTGAAAGTGAGATTAAACTAATTCTGTCACTGCGCTTGTAGACCATTAGAGGCTTTTCGATATCTGTTGGACTTTGAGTTGATATAGCCGCCGTATCCGCCGTGAGGGGGGTATTAAGTTTCCTCTGTTATCCTTATCCGCTAACCAAAATAAATTTAGAAGCTACGCTTTTTTCTACCCATCATCTAAGGGTGGGGGGTATGTTCATTTTGTCAAAACGTTTGCAACGCCCAGAAGGCCACACAAACTATGTATATTTTTGACCAGCATCCAATTTTAAATCGATTTAAGCACGTCCGTCCGTATGTCTAATGTTTGTTATAAACATTCTCTTGCCCGCAATAACGAAACTATTGATTTAAAATTTGTCAAATATATTGAAAGTTCTTGCCCGCAGGTTGGTATTCACAATTAGCCAAATCGGTTGAAGGTCACGCCCACAGCATCACGTAAATTAAGAACACTTCTGTTTTTCGACAGGACTAAAAAGTTCGTTTTTGCTCATTACTCGTCAACTACAGCAAATAAATGTAAAAACTCTCTGGGCGGTGCTGTAGGACTTGTACGAAAATAGAAAAACATGGCCATGCCTACCCAATATTATAGTGTATAAAAGTTTAATATTTTTCTAAAGCCTTTAAAAAAAGGCGCAGAAACAGGCTTCAAAAGCCCCATAAAGAGTATATAAATGCTTGGTCAGTTTTAAATTTGAAATGCGCCTAAACACGTGCGTTTGTTCGTCTGTCCATCTGTCTGTTCGCGCAACTATTTGTGCTGAACATTCTCTCGCTAAGAAAAATGTATATATCACCTACAAATTTGGAAAAGAATTTAGAACTTAACTTAAACTTTTCCAAGGACATGCCTGCAACGCCCACAAATGGCTAGGCAAACAAATCTTTCAGTATAAAAATAGAAAAAATCAAACGCGCCCACTTCATATTTTATAGAGTATGAAAATTTTGTTCCTTTCCTTCCTTCCTCTGTCTTTTTTGGGATAATGATGATGATGATGATGGGTATGAAAGATTCGGTCACGACCGAATATAATTTTCTTACTTGTTAGTAACGAGGCTTGCTAATGGCAATATCATACGTCATTGATATTATTTTGCTGGCAATCATTAAAAGGAGTTTGCATAAACCATAATGATAAGGATAAGGAATTTGCGTGAACTACTGCTCCCCATGGATCGTCTAATTATATATATCAATGACATCTACGAAGTGTGTTTATCGCAATCTCTAGAGAAGTCTTTCATATCTATGCGAAGATTGAAAGAAATTAATAAAAAAAAATTTTTCGTTTCGAATGCTTATTTTTCGTATTGATGAAAGCAATCGACGCATGGGGAAAGAAGGTATTGATTATCGATAATTGATCGTTGAGTCAGTCATTTATCGATAATAACACATCATGTATGAATATTATTGAAACAAAAGCAAAAAGCAGATTGTTTCTAAAGTTTTAATCGCTGTAATGCCTCTTAGTGTAATATGGAAGAGGCAGAGGGTTTGTCATGCTTTCAACCAGTTCTCTACTACATGCAATTTGCATTTGAGAGGGAATTTTTATTTGCTTTACTCTGACATCTTTGAAGGTCAACAATTGCTGGACAAGAACGTCGAGGATAAACAAAATAGCAATATACGTTTGTAGGCTTTTTATTACTAACTTCCATTAGAGCAATATGTTAACTTTATCTCAGTTCTTTTTTTTTTTTGTTTTTTGTTTTTGATTTCGCTTAAAGTGAGTTACGCACATTATGTTGTTGCTAGTGGTGGTGGTGGTGTTTTACGAAGCAGTTGTGTTAAAGCTTATTTGCGAAAAGCCATAAGACATGATTTTTAGTTTTTAAATTTTATGAGCTGCTGCCTTGAAAAATCTTTAGGCGCAAATGAGCGAGAAAAGCAATAAGAATAATCATAATAACGAATAACACATTTCTTAAGAAATACATTTCTGTGGGTTGGTATAGATGGTTGGTTGGTTGGTTGGTTGGTTGGTTGTTTGTTTGGTTGTTTGGTTGTTTGGTTGGCTGAATGCAACGGTGACTGCGCGCTTTGTTATAAAAAAAAAAAGCAACAAAACTAAACTAGTAAATGTAAAGGAAAAGAACACATGCGGCTTGTAAAAACTTTGAGCTTAGACTACTAGACTTCGATAGCGATTGAATGGTTATACCAATACGAAAATACAAACATTTACACTTACACGCAAACACATATGCATGCATTCAGTTACTCATACATCAGATTTTGATATTCATGGGATGTTTTACTAAATGCGGAGAGTTAAAACCTTAAAAACGTTATATATATATATATATGTATATGTGAGGAGAGAATACGATCGTGGAGTCACATGTGTGCGTGTGCGTCTGTGTGGGAAAATGAAATGTATTAACTAACTTAGCTAAAAACTGATGGAAAGAAATGACTTGAATCGCATTGAATCTCAAATGTACAAGATTCAGTTATTGTTTTGCGGTTGCTGGTTAGAGACTCGTTAGTTAATTAAATGCGCTTGTTGATGTTGCTATTCGAACGATCTTTGCTTAGCTTAGCTTAGTGTGTTACCGTTTGTCTTTATGTATACATATATGTGCATGTGTTTTTGTGTGCGATTCTAATAGCGATCTAAAGCGATCCTTTGATGTTATGTAAAATAAAAATTTTTAATATAAAAATTTAAAAAAAAAAAAATATGAAAAAACTTTATGCAAAAACATCTTTCACTCATAAGAACCGCTCGAATAAATGCGTTATTAAAGCTAGTGATGATAATGATGTATGTCACGAACCCATATTAGCTTATCAGTCAACACTGAGCGAAACTCAATCAGCCCCACCGCCACCACCCTCAGCCACCACGATCACATCGTATAATCGAATGTTACGCGAAACGAAACCCCCGAAATATACGCCTCGTTATCCTTTCGTGAGTCCGGTAAATTCTGATCATACGAATTTACGTAAATTCCATCATCCTTGCGTGCCTATGCTTGAAGATATACCATATTATTCGATAACTGAATTGGATGATTTGCATTTACTTGATCATCGGCATCCGGAATTTCATCAAATGTTACGCATGCAACAAACCAAAGTTTATCATAATCACAATGAATTGGTGCTACAGCTTCCCATGGCCTCTGAATTTGATTCGCATGACCTAAATGTGACGCCATTGGCTTCACCCATATATGAAGCACCACAAATAGTTGGCTTTGTCGGCAATTCCGGACAAAAGTCACAAAGGAATTACATGTTAACACCAACCTCGTTAACAAATCTATCGTCAGCGTCATCGACATTGTCGTCGTCGTCGTCCATATCAACATCATCAGCGACCACTTCGCCAACAATGTTGCGCATGTCGTGTTCTGCTAATGTTAAGAGTGCGAAAAGTTTAAACTCAATAACACCGCCTCCACAAACCACTATAACTTCTACAAGCACCGCGTCGCATGATTACAATATTTATGAATCGTATAAACGAAATCAACCGCAGTTTTTTAACAGTTCAATATTGGCAGCAACAACAAGTTTCGCGTACGTATTTAAAATAAAAATCATAAATATTATGACAAAAAAGTTGAAAATTACTTATCGCCATTGTCGGTGGTGGGTAGAGTTCGATTACGAAAGACTTAATTTTTTTATTTTTATTTTTTTTTTTTGTATTTTCATCAAATCTTTTTCTGCAGACATATGAAGAACAAAGAAGTCTTTCACACTCTTTTGTTACTTAGCTCCTAAGTAATAGCAATCCTGAGCTCTATGCTATTACATTGAAAATAATATTTTTAAAAATTGTTCAGTTTTTCTTTTCAATGGATCGGTTCTCTTGTTCGCATTAGTTAAGAATTAAATAATAAATGCTTCGAGAGAGAGAAAGAGTGAGAGATTCTATTACAGCTTACAGCTTTTAGAAATTATTCCTCTTGGCGAAAGCAACATTTTGTGTTTAGCCGCTTGATACGTTAAGCGAATATTTTAAAATTACCCCAACTGTTATAGAAATGGTGATCGCTTCGAAGAAGAAACTTTTTATTGCGGATGTTGTTTTTTATATCGTTTGCTTTAATTGTTTTTTACTTTTTGTAATCATGGATGTTGTGGGTTGGAATATTGACTTGGCTTGGCTGATAACATGCAGCATTCCGTTGATCCACTCAAATAGTATCGCGCCATGACTTTTGAATTTCTAGCTTGCCCTTCGCTTCGTGCTATATAATTTTTATCTTCGGATTGTGTACCTTGGTCTCATTTGCCGCGCGAGTTAAGCAATGGAGGAAAAGCGAGGGACAAAAGTTAAAAGCAAAGCTATACCGCGCTTTATACATTTCAAAGTATTAACGTGTGGCGTAAAGCTTGAAGGCTCGTTCACGTGAAGAGGTCACTGTATTATCCGGTACGGTGAAGGACTAGTTTCGATTTCTCTTGAAAAAGAGTTCAAAACTATTTATGTATAATTTCTCTTAATTTACTTCTCCGCTTGGGCGGACATTATCTGGAGCTTTCTGAACCGGGATAGGTTACTTTTTAGAAAGCGAATTTCTAAACAAGCTTTCGGTCATCGTAGCGTTGCTTTTTAGCATCGTATGGTACTGAAGGCAGAATCACATCTTTTCTTTTGTACCGGACTCTATGTACGTAGCATAAATTCGCTTCGGCACTAACAAAGGTAATACAATTTAAGTGCGCAAACTTGCTACCACCTTTTTAGGCTTATTAGCCTAAATGAATTTTTCCAACGATCGTTCTATTTACAGTGCACCTCTATCGTATATATATGCAGTAAATCTTTTATAAAAACTAATAATTTTCAATTACTTTTCTTGCAAGAGTGATTATCTCTCGTAATCAGGCAAAGAGAGAGTTTTCTTTTTTTTTTCGTTCGCTTAATTTGATAAATGAAAATAATGGATTCTTTAAAATTATTAAAAAAATGAATAATCATAATAATTAATAGGTTGTAAACCTGTGGTGTGGAAAGCAAAAACAGATTTTCTCTGTAACCAATGAATAAGTTTGCGTTTTATTGCCAATCTGTTAAAAAAAAAAGATAATAAGATTGCATCTAATTAAGACTCAGGTACCGCGCGAAGAAAGCACAATGAAAACACGAATTTGTCGAATCCTTGGAAAGCTATCTCAGGTATGCACTCTGTTCGATAATATTGCAAATATTGCAACGCTCCGTGCAGCTGTGTTGCTTGAGGAACAGAGTCGAGGTAAGCGATGCGTAAGAAACTTATTTAGAAACTTAAGACACTATTATCTGTGCACTATTTGCGTTGGGTGTAAAAATTTTGAAAAAATCTTTCATCAACGGTTTGCATTTTTTACTTGAATAAGAAATAATGGAGATCAGTGACTAGCAAACTTTTTTTCCCTTAACGATCATAAACAATTACATATTTTAAAAGATTTTATCTTACATGAGCTAAGCAAATAATTCAATTAAGTAAATGACTTTAAACTTCGTCATAAACCGGTTGAAACATTTGTTTATTCTACGTGAGAGAGTTTGTGTTTGGGAACACCTGCCTTTTTTTTGATTATGTTGAAATAGTTGCATATTTGTTGCATAGCATTTAATGCTTACATGTTGTGGCATAGTAATTTATTTTTTTTTGTTTTTGTTTTTTACATGAAGTACGTGTTTCGCAGTGATTTTTATTTTACGAAAACAAACTGCAACATGAATTTTGACCATATTTGATCAATGATTATAGTTGTCGCAGAGATGTCGTGAGATGTTTAGGCAAAAGCAAAGCAAAACTATTAGCCGCAAGCCGTAAGCAAATCAAGTCTTGGCTTCTACACAAATGCCTTAAGAATTAAAAAAATTTTTTGTGCTCTTATTTGTGAAAGTGGTGTAAGTCAAAATTTAGAAACAATGAATTTATCAGTTATTTCAAATCACATTAGTTTAAAATAAATTAATTCAATGTAATTTTTACAATATCGTCAAAAATTAACCATTAATTAGAATTCATTTAGTGTTAATTATGAAAGTGGTCCAAGTCAAAAATTTGTGAATAACACTTTGAGGAAGAGAAATTACATGTTAGACAAAGTCATGATTTACATTTTCAGAATGCCGAACGGGCTAGAAATTGTCTTGTAGAAGACTAGAAAGAAGCAAAAGAAAATCCCGGCAAACACTCCCGTATCCAAAACATTCTGTTTCGTTAGCTTATTATAAGCGATAAATGTGTACATATACAACTTGGGTTACTATAATTTCCATAATGACAATGTCAAGAGGTATGTATGGGATGGAAGGATAGCTTCAAAGGATGCATAGGAAGTGCCATCATGCATTGTGATGCGTATGGATGATATAACTACTCAGAAACAAGTAATAGCTTACAACGGGTACTTCTGTGGGCCTAAATCGTAACATAAAAGTAGCATTGACATGGATGAAAATTGCTCAGTCATCGTATAATAATATTGAACGATACACCAGAAATTTTTGGTATCTGGTCAAATGACCGTCATTCTGGGTTGATAGAAATGAGAAACAAGTAAGAAATTTGTATTCGGCGGGAGCCGAATCTCGCATACCCACCACTATGCTTTTCGCATTCTACTCTTCAAGTTCTTTTATTTGATACCCATATTGCTTGTATTATTAAGAAAGATTAATCCATCAGGTCCTAGGGGACCCATTTTTAGGCAGAAAATATATCATCATTTCTCTCTTGTTTACCACCTTATGATCGATAAGCATAAAAAGTGAAAAAGGGACAGAAAAAATAAAATTTAATCACTTGTAACTTTGTGTGGATATGGCCGATTTTTTCCATTTTTGCACGTAAAGAGTAGAGCGCTTCGTAAACCGAGCGTGCAAAGTCTCAGACTTCTAATTTCTATAATTTCCGAGTAACGAGGAAAAAACGACAAATTTTGGTTAACAAAAACCTTAGTTGCGTTGAGTTTGTGCTCCTCCACGGGCGTCTGCTCTGGCCAATTTGGCCAACTTTCATTACCAACCTAAGTGCAAAAATTTCCAATGTTTCTAATAAATTTAAAGTCGATGTCTTCATTCCTGCGATAAGCAGAGTGCCAACAACATATAGATGGACGGACGGACAGAGATGGCTAAATCAATTTAGAGTTTCAAGAATATATACAGTTTATAGGATATGTGATGTTACATACATTATGAAAAAAAGAGCATACCCCCACCGTACAGTGGTGGGTATAAAAAGCAAATTACATCCACCATCATTATGAATTATTATTATGAATTGATGAAAAAGTGTAGAAGAAGAAATACATCTTCGGTGAAACGAATGTTGTAGTCGGGTTTTGTTTCGACGAAATCACTAAAATTGTCAACGGCAAGAAGGGTAAAAATATCTCGGGCGAATCTGTTTCTTTGTTACAAATTCAATGGATGAGATTCTCCAAAAATATATGTATAAGACGTTCTATAAAACTTCTTTAGATGATTCTAAATTCCACTTTTTTCATCTTTCACCTAAAAGAAGAAGACCAAAAATATAGGGAAAAATTAAATTACTTTTGTTATACTGCACCGTTAGACCAGTAACTTAAGAAAAACATAGAGATAGTATTGAATGACAAGAGTCTAAAATAATAAAAATGGATTACTTTTTAAAAATAATTAATAAATGTTCCTGAAATATTTCTAAAAAAAATTCGTAGTTTTTTACTGCTTTAAGTCATCCCAGGACATTCCATTAACTTTGAAAATGGTTTAAGTCAGATTAAGTTTTAAAAAAAACATTTTCATACAAAATCCACACAATATATCATATTCATAATAAATTTACATTGATCAAGACTAATACAATTTTAAATTAAAAAGGTCGCATAATGTAAAAATATTTTTTAATTTATTCTTATGCAAATTGAACAAGAAATATATGCCTTAGACCACTTTCACTAATATGGGCACACATGAAAAGCTTACCATTGCTGTCGCAATAATGCAGAGGCAGAGTTAAAGAAAGAGAAAGAAATTTGATTTTCTTCGCTGAGATAATCATAAATTACTTTAATCCGGACAAGATTCGTAAAAGCGAAAACATATTTCGGGAAGAATTCAAAACACCATAAGGAAAAATATTAGAAATTGAAATTATTTGAATGTGTGACGCCGCGTAGCGTTGTTGTTGTTGTTGTTCAACAATCTTTTCGAAAGAACCCAACCTATGGCTACTTAATTAAATCAAAATCCATATATGGGCTAGGTAATCCTTTCTAAAGCAAAGCAAAACAAAGAGTGAAAGAAGAAAGCATATTGAATGGTTTTGTAAAGAATATTATGTTTAAGTTAAAGTCACACACTTTAAATATGACTTAGATATGGATGACATTTTGTGTATAGAATTACAAGATACTTGAGAAGAATATGAAATAATTTTTTTTTTTTTTTTTTTAACTAAACCCCTCATACAGAGTTAAAGGTAAATAAGTAGACTGTTGTCAACCAGTTGATGATAATGTTGTTGTTGTTGTTTTTTGTTGAGGTTCTAGCTGCATATATAAGTGACTTGTACTCTTCATTACACAAAGAGATAAATCTGTCGAGTTTGCGTTTTTTTCCTTCTTCTTCGTCGTCTTCTTCTTCTTCTTCTTCTTCTTCGCCATATCAGAGCTTTATGTCACTGTGTATGAGTTTCGTATAAATAGGAGAAAAAGAAATAAAAAACGGAAAGGAAAAAAAGTAAAAGAAAAACTGAACTGAGAGCAATAGCGAGCGACATTATATAGGAGTTTATGTGTTAAGCAGCAATGAGAACAACGGCAACATAGAAGGCTTTATTTGTTGAATACAACATGCAACGCAACGCAACGCAACGCTGCACCACTATTACATTAAAGAACTTGAAAGTATTTGTTTTAATTTTTTTGCTTGGCATGCTCGCTGGTGATGTGTTTTTTACATTAAATTGTGGCTAAAACATTTAAACTCCCGTCGTTTTTTTTTTTTTTACAAAAGTAATGTTGAGAAAGAACAACAGAACGACAATAATCAACGACAGCCATAAATGTCTGGGATATTTAATCATTTCCTTAGAAGAACCTCAAGTGCCACTAACTTATAAAATATGTTGCAACTGTTGTTATTTTGTTTTGTTATTCTTTTTTTTTTTTTTTTTTTTTGCTTTATTTTATTTTGTTACTACTGTTTGTTTCATTTTGCCTTAAGATGATGGTGGCACATTTATTCTAACATTCAGCTTGCAACGGTCAAAATATACTATATTCGTGTATATAAACTATTATGGAGATGCTGCATCTGTTTAGGCAATCTTCCTTCACCGGTCCGTCCGTCCTCTGTATACACGTAAGCCCAGAGCAAATAAAATTGAGATGAACAACTTATACTTGGCGCTGACCTTCTTGGAGCTATTTGTTGATGAAAGAGTCTTACGACTGGCCATTTATTTCAGTCTTGTAAAGCTTAAAAGAGAATTTTGTCTTGCAGAGCGTACATTTGAACTCGTGGACATTCAAGACCCGCTCCAAGTCTTTTTTAAACTAACAACTTCTTCTCAGATATTTTAAAATGAAAATAGTTGGAAAACATCAGGTGCATGGAATGCAAGCGTCGCGGGTAATCTTGCTCATGTATAAATCGCGGCGGCTTTGGGCTTTGCGTGCTAAAGTTACTTTAATCCTGACCTTTGAATGTTGTTTACCGTTTTACTTGTTTTTTTTTTTTTTTTTTTTTTTGTTTTGCAAAATCTCTTAAACAAATACCATTTCGCATGGAATGGGAAAAATTTTACTCAAACTCGTACTGATTCTTCCATAAATGATTTTCTAAACATTATCAACATAATTGTGCTTGCTGTTGCTTGTGTTTAGAAAGTGATTATATGAATCACTCTTGAATTTTGTCGTTTAGAAATTGTAAAGTATTTCCTGTTTAGAAAATTCTTTTCTATGATATTTATTGCAAAATCTGAAAGCTTTATTACGCATCGCAATGCTGCAGAAAGCATTATTTTATAAAAGCAAAAGCCAATAAAAACAATTCCCTTTCAATCGTTTAACGACTGTGCGTTTCATTTCCCTCAGTTCACATTACCATAATTTCAATTGAAGCTGGACGATATCACCTTGGACCTCACCTAACGTAAGGGTAGACTAATCTGGCCTTTACAACATTGGTGCTCATTTTACAATCAATATATGCTTCCATAAACACACTTCTTTTTATACCCATTACCGAAGGATGGGAGGTATGTTCAGTTTGTCAAAACGTTTGCAACGCCCAGAAGGAAGTATCAGATACTCCGCACAGTATATATATTCTTGATCAGTATCGTATCGAATTCTAAATCAATTTCAGTATGTCCGTCTGTCCGTCTGTGTAATGTTTGTTGTAAACATTCTCTTGGCCGCGACTTCACATTTGGTAGAAGCACTGGAAGTTCGTTGGCATTGAAAATGGGCCAAATCAGTCGAAGAACCAGGGAACAGCTCTTTCAAAGGAGTAAGAAATTGTTCTTTTACTTATATTACTCATAAAGCGCACTAGATAAATGTACAAAACTCTGAACACATGTTCTATGAGTGATGCAGTAGGACCTGTACAAAGATGGAAAAAATTATTGCCGCCTACCCAATATTGCTGTGTATCAAAATTTAATTTTTTTCACTACCTACTACTAAAAAAAAATCAGTCGCGCCCACTCCGTATTTTGGAACATGAAAATTTAGTTTGTTTGCCTTTTTTAGGGTAACGATGATGGGTATAAAAAATACAGTCACGACGGCATATAATTTTCTTACTTATCTTTTCTTACTATCTATAATACTAAGAATATAGGAGTGCTGTAGACGTCGTGTGCATCTGTAAGCACACGCAATGGGCGTCCACAGAACGGGTTAAAGTAAAGATTCAGCTGATTTTACTCTTCCGTTAAAAGGTCCCGTTAAGACTTTGACTCGATTTCAGAAAAGGATCGTATGCTTAAGAAAAATTGTGGGCATGTAATTAAAACAGTCGACGTAAGGTGTAAAAGAGTATTTATCACAACGGATCAGCTGGCAAAATAATGCTCTAAGATACTCTGCCGTCGTCAGCTATTGTCGCAAAGCTTTTGAAAAATCCTTGTGTGTGCGTGTGTGTGTGTTGTCCTCGCTTGGCGTATCTGAAAGCAACTTAGCAACAATTTTCATTTATAGTGAATCATCTCGACTCTAAATTCTGCTTTTTATATCAATTTCATATAAAAATTCTCTATGACACTTCACTTATTTCAAATTTTTGCTTCGGAATTTAAAAAATTATATTTAAAATTGTAATGATTTGATTTTGAACGTAAGCGGCAAATTATATAATTAATTAACAAATTTGTTGACCTTCGTTTTAGTGAACAAAGTATTATTGGGGCACGTGCCTCCGTGATGGTCTACGATGATAATCAAAAGAAATGGGTACCCTCTGGGACTTCGTCTGGCCTCAGTAAGGTGCAAATCTATCATCATCAACAAAACAATACATTTCGAGTGGTGGGACGAAAATTGCAAGATCATGAAGTGGTCATTAATTGTTCCATACTCAAAGGACTCAAATATAATCAGGCAACAGCTACCTTTCATCAGTGGCGTGACTCAAAATATGTGTATGGCTTAAATTTCTCCAGTCAACATGATGCTGAATCGTTCGCGCGGGCTATGATGCATGCGTTGGACGTAAGTTGATAATAAAAGAATTTCGAGATAATCTTACAAACTAAAGCGTTTAATTTATTAAATTGTTGTAGGTTTTAAGTGGACGTGTTATAAATAATGCTGTACAACCTACGAACGGTAATAGTTACGAGGAGGATATGGGTTATCGTACGATGACCAGTGAAGATGCGGCGATGTTGAGGCAACAACAGCAAATAACAGGCCAAGTAACGCCTTCTGCTCAAACGCCAACTTCGCAAACGAATCAAAATAATATACCACAAAGCCCACCGACACCACAGGGTCATCATCGAACAAGCAGGTAGATATTCGAATGTGTTCGAATTCATATCTCTTCATGTATTAGAAATTATTTTTCTTTCTTCTTTGTTTTTGTAAACTTGTGTGTGTCGGTCATCGCTTCTCATCGCTTCACCAATGCTTATAAATTAACAAATCGTTCTTTAAACACATTTGTACATACTGTATATCACTTAAAACTTGACTTCTCTCTCACATAACATTTATATCACACATTCACTTTTTATTTTTGTAAAATGTGGAAAAAAAACTTTTTATAATTTGCGTAAATACAAAAAAAAAAAAAAAAAAAAACTTGGAAATTGGTCACAACATTTTAACACACTAAAGGAATTCCCTTAGTGCTCCAACGGCACCACCACAAACCACACAAATGCAACATCAGCAACATCAGCAGCTTCAACAGCAGCAACAGCAACAACAGCAGCAACAACAGCAACTTCAATCACAACCACAACAATCCGCAATTTATGGCCAAAATATTAATGGACCTAATCAAAATGGCATGCAGCAGCAGCAGCAACAACAACCAGCAACAAGTCAACAGATACCACCAGTTCCCGGTCATACGCAGTATCATGCACCACAGCAACTGCCACAACATCCACAACAACAGCAGCCACAGACACAACCTCAAAATCAACAACCGCAACATTCAATTTATGCATCACAACAATTGGTCAATACTGGCGGGTATCAACAAAATCAGGTTAGTGAACTCTGAGCTTGGGCCTTTAAATTCCCAAATTAAGCAGTAATGTGAGCCGTCTAGTAAATCCTTTCGCTAATATTAAGAGTCAACTGCTGGCTTTCAATAAAGACTGCATCTACTATTTCGACTCAGTCTAAAAACCTCAAGTTTGAGATTCCAATAATAAATTACAGACGAGAAAGAACCCAACAAGCGAAGCTTATGCAATGTTATATTTTAGTGGGATCCTCGAAACCTTAGCCTAGGAATCAGTTCATCGCTTAAATCGTTCAAAGTCAAATGTCGAAGTCTAGGTTGTAGATTTTGTGCATTTTATATAATAATGATATTTAGTTGATTCATGCTTGATATGATCCCTTTTTTTTATTTTGTTCTTCCATGAAATGTTTTTCTCTTTTTAATTTTCCTTTTTATTTTATTATTGTATAAAAATCTTTTCCAATTTTTATTCCCATCTTTCTTTCATGCACTATATGCTACCACCAACGCTTGTTCCGCCAAATTCCTGTGATCTGTGGGTCATCTTATAACACCGACATGTTTCTTTTTTAACTTTGCTTAAAAAAATATCACCAAAAAAACAGTATCAGCAACCGCATTATGTTTTATCGAATTCTAATCCAAATCTTAATATGCATCAATATCCAACACAGCAACAGCAGCCAGCACAACCACCACAGATAGCAATAAATGCGAATATACCACAGCCGCCAATGCCACCACCGCATCAGCCACAAAATGGTCCAGGAGCTGGTGGTCCACCAATTTACGTGTCGTCTCAGGTACAGATGGGAGCGGGCGGTCTTCCAAATTCGAATAGCTCTGGCAGTGTGGTATATAATGCGTTGCCGCAGCCAGGCGGTATAGTGCCTATGGCTCCGCAACCATCGCAAGCTCCAGCTTTAACCAATGGACCCCCGATTCCGCCAAACGCGTACGGTCAAATGAATGGTGGAATTCAAGCACAACAACAACAACAACAAGAGAATGGCTTTGGTCCACCAGCCACAACGATAGCGTCAAATTCACAAAATCAAAATATGCCACCCATGGCACCGCCACATAATCGCATGAGCAACAGCAGCGGTGGGGCTCCGGCACCACCACCGCCTCCAGCTTTTGGTGGAACGTCTCAGCTATTTCATACCAACACTAGCAGCAGCAATATCGGTGGCGGCACTAATGCACCACCACCACCGCAACCACCAGCTCCGCCAGCGCCTCCCACAATGAGAGGTCCTGCGGCCGCTGCACCACCGCCACCACCACCACCACCCATGACTAGTATGGCTGCTAAAAAGGATGATCCTCAAAATGAACTAATGGGATCTTTGGCTGCCCAATTACAACAAGCTAAATTAAAAAAGAAGGTAAGTGGATCAATGGTAAAAAGAAAAATTATTTATGAATTTTTGGAGAAATTATATGAAAAAAAAAAAAAAACAATGATAATTTTTCGCAGTCTACTCCAGCTCTTCCGACTGAGAATAGCAGCAGTAGTACATCGAGCAGTGGTGGTGGTAGCGGTAACTACGGTACAATAGGCCGCGGAACCACAGGTATGGCTTCCATGATGGATGAAATGGCAAAAACTTTAGCACGAAGACGAGCTCAAGCTGAAAAAAAAGAAGTAAGGATAGACATATATGTAAAAAAAGCTGTTTAATCGAATATGATTTTAATGTGTTCCTTAAGCCTGAACCTGAACCAGAAATTAAGCAAAGACCTTGGGAAAAATCAAACACATTGCCTCACAAATTGGGAAGCTCTGCATCATCAAACGCTAGCAACAGCAATACGAATTCCATAAATACATCGAACAGTGGCGGCGAATCGCCCAGACCTATGCGTAAACGTTTTGGCAGTGCCAGTGAAGAAACGATACTTAAGGTTTGTCTGGAATACATTTTTTTGCTACAAATTAACTACGCGCAGTAAGATTAATTACTTAAGTATAATGCCATATTAGAGCGCACTTGGTGGCTTTAAATGATTATTGTAGAGTTGAAATGCTTGATTATTTTTTACACTTCCAAGTTTTAATTTGAGGGATGGCGGCGCTATTTTGAAGAAGATGAACTTGTCAGTCATTTTTTTAGAAATTTAATTGCATAAAAAAATTTTTAACAAAGCTTTTCACGATGCTTATGAAATTTTCAACAATTTTCTAAAAACGATATAATCGTATTTCTGCTGCTCGAAAATGTTTATTTAAAACAAAAAAATAAAATTCTTAATATATGCTTCAATATCCAATAATGGACGTAGGATTTTCTTAACATATATTTGGTGTCTTCGGAGTATAATGTTTTCACTTGTTTTAACATGGAAAATGGGATAAAATGTTGGATTATGCAATACGAATGCAATACACCAATGCATCCTAACGAAGTCCCTTCCTTTCCAATCTGCAAATGTAGATAAATTCTTAGCGTGAAGCACTTTGTTTGTGATCGCCTAAACTTTTCCTTAATCAGAAGTATCATCTTCGGGACAACTAACTTTCTGAGCAGCCTTAAATAAATCAGCTACAGAAGGCAATAACAATTCAATATATTAGTTTTTTAAAACTAATTTTCTTTTTCAAAATGGGGCTTGCTTTTACACCCATCACCGCAGGCTGAGAGGGTTATATTCATTTTGTCAGAAAGTTTGTAACGCCGAGAAGGAAACTTCGAAGACCCCTCAAAGTACAAATAATCTCGATCAGCATCAAATTCCAAGTCGATTTAAGTACATCCGCCTGACTGGTTGTCCCTCTCTGGTACAAATTAATCGTATTTCTCAAAAAATCGATTGTAAAACCGATCAAAGTGTTAAGTAAATTGTTTCAGAACGCTAGAAAAATTGCCAATTGAAAAAACATAGTTCCAAAAAAAAAAAAGGAAAGATGAAAGTTTGAAGTAGTTGTAACTAGTATTTAAAGAATTGATCTTTTGTCATACAAAAAAATTTCACGTAAAGAATTTGATCCACTATAGGACTTTTTGAGTTTTTACCCATTTAAGGATTGGAAAGCGGCAGATTGCTGTTGCGACTTATTGGCGACATCTGAAAATGTGAATTCTCCCCCTCATAAATACTCTTAAGAAAATTGAAAATTATTATAAAGTATAATAAGCAATCAATCGAGAGAGAGATCACTAAGCAAAAGTTTCAGAATTGATTTCGAGAGATTGTGAGAAGAAAGGACGAGATTTACCGCGATCTAGAAAATTTATTGCATGCGCCCATGCCCCTATCCCTCCAGTTTTAAAACTTTTATGAATCCCACCACCTTCTTTGTTTTTGGGATGGTATCTCAGTGAATTGTGACCCGTGAAGAAGCCGGTAATTACACGTAGATAGCTTCTTCTCAGTTCCATTAGCAGATTTTATGAATCCTTTTGCCTTTGTCCTGGCCATTCCTTTATTCTGTGTCCATCGCAGAACCTTAAGAAGCCTACCATGGCCCCTCCGGCTCCTAGCTAGACAGTCAGTCCTTTGCTATTGCCCTCAATACTCGAATTTACAGGCAACCAAATTAGGTTCACATCATTGTGTCGGGCACTTGAAAACGAGAAAAAAATTTAAGAATACTATTATATTTATGATTTGATTGAATTTATTTATAAAATCGTATTTAATAGCAGGTGAATGGCGATGGCTTGTCACTGGCTTTGTCCGGCAGCGACTTGGAACAATTGAAGGCTGAAATAGTTAGAGAAATGAGATTAGAAATGCAAAAAGTCAAGGAAGAGATAATAAATGGTAAGTAAATGTATTGTCTCTATTCCTATATACATCGAATCTCGAATATTAATTAAATTAAATTAATTCTTTTAGCAATTAAATCGGAATTTAATCGCAGATAAAATCATTAACTTAGCGATAATTGAAAATAATGAATTTATTAGCACTGCTAATATATAATATATATACTTTTAATCAACATATATATGCCGCGTGTTCTCTTTTTTTATATATTATATACACACAAAAAATATATCGAACGTAATTTGCGAGACAAGGAGTGTAGTAAGCAGCATAAGAAATATCAAACAATATATAAACAATTTAAGCGTATATATATATATATATCTTGTATATATATACATATACACAACAACAAAAAATCGATGATAATCTTATTTATACATTAAAATATTATTATAATTATTACCAGTATATCAAAATCCGATTGAATTGTAATGGAAAAACAAAAGGAAAATTCATACTAAAAAAAAAAAACTCCGCTTAGCACAAACAATCGAACTTGTTTTAGGGAGTTTTAAAGCCTTGAATCTCTTATGTAAAAACCATTACAATCATATGCATTGGAAACTGATAACTTCCTTCCCCCTCTAAAAAAAAAAAAAAAATGAACTGATGTTTTGTAAGTAAATTTATTAAATTTAATTTATACGTATTTTTTATTTTATACATAAAAATATATGAAATATAAAAAAAAAAAAAAAAAAAAAAAAAAAATAGGGCGAATATTTATAGCATCGATGATGACAAACCTTTATATAATGAAATCCTCTAGATTTTAACTTATTTACAAATGTAATCCATAAGAATCATTTCTCTTTCTTGTTCCATCTTTTTTCTATCCATTTCGCTCTATGTGTTTTTTATAAAAAAGAAACTATGTGTGAGGATTCACTTTAACTAGCAGATGCATTCCCCAGCCAATTGGTATACTACGAGATCTCTAAATGTCTTTGCTGAGATTGCATAGAAGTTGTAGAACACTATACACTATACACTATATATATTTAATAAGCAAAAAATTTTATATCGAAATAATCTCTTAATCAGATTTTACAAATTTTCCAAAATATAAGCGGACAGCAAAAGGTTGGTGCATGCGTACGTATTTTTCTGTCCGCAATCTCGGAGTCTTTCCAGAAAAGTCAAGAGCTTTACTTCAGCAGCGTACCTCTTCTTAGAATTCCTTTTTGTGTCGGATAAACGCTCGATAAGCGACCATAAATGGTGGGCCTTTTCCTTTTGCGCAAACTCGAAGCTGTAAAGTAGAGTTTGTCTCGATCGTTACGCCTGGAAAAGGAATTTGAAGAAAGAATGCAAGCCAATATCTACAAGGGCTCATCATAAAAATATTTTGCATTGTGCAGCATTGATAAGCGCATCCGATTTTGAAAGCCCTAATATAACACTCGATAAATAATTCTCAATTTGAGTTTTAGCGGTTAAATTTGGTTTTTCTATACCCGCCGCTGTAAGATGGGGGAATACTTATTTTCTTTTTTTTTTTTTCATAATGTATGTCACACCCAAAAGGAAACTTCATAGAGACCCTATAAAGTATATATATTCTTTTGATCAGCATGGTAATTCTAAATCTATTAAGCCATATTTCTCCGTCTGTATGGCGTTGGTTTTTGGCGCTCTTCTGATCGCCAAAATGAAGCTATCGTATTCAAATTTTGCTGAAACATTAGAAGTTCTTGCAGGAGCAAGAGCAGAAGCCTGCAGTGGAGCGTAGCCTGAATGCAACCTCAGTTCTCTTAACAAAAACTTGTGGGTTGTGCGTGTTACTCTGAAATTACGAAAGTTAGAAATGCTGAAATTTCCCCACATTTACTTTACGAAGCAGTCTACACTTTATGTGCAAAAATGGAAAAAATCAGCAATGCCCATACAAAGTTGCCATTAATTGAATATTACTTTTTTATACCCTTTCGACGTTTTATGCTTATTTATCAAAACATTTAAAACTATTTTGTGTACATTCCTCAAATGGAGACGTATTATCCGCCTAGAAATGGATTAATTGGTTACTTCTAAAATGCATACCGAAGACACGGCGATTACTTTTTTCTTAACAATACCAACAATATGGGCATCAAATAGACGAACTTGGAGAGTAGAATGCGAAAAGCATGGTGGTGGGTATGCGAGATTCGGGTCCTGCCGAATATAATATACCCACTTGTTTATATGAAAAAAAGTGTAAATTTTATTTATATGCTGTTTGTTGTCTTCCAAATCGTTCTTAGAGTCAAAACTTCTGACTTGCTTATTCTTAACGATTCTTCCTACTTGAAAATAGTCGTTGTTTTGGCCCTTTGCTAAGCATTCTCGTAATATTATTCACTAATTTTCATTAAATTTTTATGATAAAAAAATAGTTTCTCTCTATTTTATTACTGAAAATTCTTTGCTATATTAGTCGGTGAATGCAGCTGTTCAGTAAATTCGGATCGTACTACTCACTGCTTAAAAAAAAATGTTGTGCTGACATAAATTTACCAAAAGAAAAAACGAAGCAAAACATGTTTTATAGAACGGTTTTAAGAATTATAATTAACATTATTCAAATATATATTTATGTACTAACATAAACGGCTATATTACGCGAAAATAGCCTTTTTTTTATAACTTATTCACTAAGCAAGTGGAATAAGAAGATTTAAAACGAATACAAAGGCTTTTATTAGTAAAAAAAAAAAAAAAAAGTGAGAAATAAAAAAAAATATTAAAAAATAGTAAAATTAATAATTTAAAAAAAATTAAGCAAATTAACTGTAAGCGAAACAATTAAAATGAATACAAAAAATAATGAAATAGTATATATATTAAACAAAGAAAAATAAAGAAAACATTTGCATAAAACAAAAAAAAAAAATGAAAGAAAATTAAATTTAATCAAAAAAAAATTAATCTGAAAGACTTGCAATACAATAAAAATTTGAATATAAAATAATAAAAATATGTCTTCAAGCCCTAGACTCTTAGACGCCGTCTTTCTCATCTACAAATATACATAGAAAACCGTTCGTAGACTTATTAACTATATCGACCAACTCTCTTCCTATTCTTTTGATTCGTTTTTTTTTTTTTTTTGGATTGAAAACCTCTAAAAATCTGCACCCAACACACAAATACAGAGTGAATTTATAGATAAAAATTGCTTAGTTCTAAGAATTCGCAGGAAGATACAAAAATTGATATGCGACGTAAAAGCTACGCGTGTGCAAGGTCAGGCTTTCTTATTGAGATCGCCTTTGAGCGTGACAGTAGTTTTCAATATCTACACTGTTTTGCCGTTGGTATGCCTCCTTGAAAAGCGCCTAAAGCGCGTTCCAGCTTTCTATATAATTTCAGTTCAAATCTTTTCAGAGGTTTTTCTAGGCCTTTCTATGCTTATGTAGGCAAGTTTGTAAGATTTGCCAGCGTTTTCAGTTACTCTGAACGGCCTTCTTGCAGCAGTCTTAAAATTAGGAATGTACGCGGCGTACTATTTACCGTATTTTTTTTTCTGGGTAAAAAATTCTTTCGAGGTACGATATTGTAAAGGTTTGAAACCGCTGTAAGACCACTATGAAATACTAAATGTGAGCGGGTGACGTCATTTGTATACGGGATCATTTTTACGCTGGTTTTTTAGTCGGCCTTCAGAAATATTTATGGAGGGTATGGGTCAATTTCTCAATTTTTTTTTCGTCGTGAAGGCGTTTTTTGGGTAGATTACGCTTATTTTTTTCTATGTTTACACTAGTTTTCAGACGGGATTTTTGGTAAAAATTACAATTTGTACTTTTTGCCTATCGTGGAAGCCTATTTGGGGTCACTAATTACGATTACGATTACGATAGCGTACGTCAGAGATTAGATTTTTTTTTTCAATTTTCCGGACTCAAAAGAGATCGAATTGAACTGTCTCAGCATCGTGTTCTTATTGTCGATAGTGGTTATAAAAACGTATAAGAACCTTTTAAGATTTTCATAGTCATCCCTCTAAATAGTAGGTGTAAACATGGGCAAGTACGTTGCGTTACATACAGTATTGATTTAGTTTCTTTTCAATAGCCGCCAAAACACGCTTTCGTGATTGACCGACCGAAATTACCACCATCGACCTGTTGTCTATTACTAAAGTGTGAATACTTAGTATACCTTAACGGATGGTCTTCAAAATATACGCATAAACGAAACTTTTTTCACAGAAAAATTTAAATAAAAAAAAAAATAAAAAATTAAATAAAAATTGTAGCATTTGTGTATTTATATTATATATTATATATAATTATATATATTTTTTATATTTACAAAAAATAAATATGCTTAGATAATTAAGTTTATAATACTAAAAAAAAAAAAGTAAAAAAATAAAAAAAATTGTGTATGTAGATTTCTTATATGTGTGGATATGTTCTCTCATTATTTACAAAAGAAAATATTTAAATTTTGTAATTTTTTGAATCCTAAAGTTTAGATATAAATGTAAATTTCTTAGTACTATTTTAGTATATTTTAGTAATTTTTCTTCACGCGCTCTATAAAAATTTGTTTAAAATTTTCATCTATAATTTGAATAATAAAATTATATTTTATTTAATTTCAAAAAAAATAAAAAATAAAATAAAAACAAAACCTTATACCTTATAATATAAATAAATACGTTTTATATAAAATAAATAAATATTAAGAACTGCAGAACAAAATATATATAGTTATACGCATTCATATTTAATAACAAAAAAGAAAAAAAAAAAAAGAATACTTTATATAGCTCTTTACGCGAAAAAGAAACTATTCTAAATTAAAATAAAAATACAAAAAAAAAAAAAAAAACTAACTCGACTAAAAAACGCATTGAAACGTATATTGAAAAAGTAAAAAACGAACAAATTATACAATTTTGCTAAATGTTACTATTAAAACTAAAATTACAGTGCATACTTACAAAAATACAAACACACACAGACACACATACGCATGAAAAAGAAACCTACAAACATTTTCAAAAACTTTGAGGAAAAAATCGATGAAATTAATTATATTATACGATACTTATTAGATCAAAATCTAGTATAAAAAATTCTATCCTTCACCACCACTACCACCACTACCACCACCACCTCTAGCAGAAAAGAAAACAGACCCCCTTTATACGCAAGAATCAATATGAAATTGATTTCATCATCGCTTTATTTAAAAATTTACTATCTTCACGGCTCACTCTCTCACTACTCACTCACTACTCGCTCATTCACCACTTCACTCACTACAAACAAATGACAAAAAGACGACGAACAACATTAACAATTACAATTTAGTTATATAAGAGAAAAATAATTATCATCAAAAAATAATAACAATAAAAAAAAAGTAAAAATTATATGCGACAAAATTTCCAATAAAATCGCTAAAATATATATATAAACACAAGAAAAAATAGAATTATTCAAAAATAAATTAACAAAAACAAAAGTGAACAA